TGTGCCTTTGAGACACGTTTTACGTAAGGCAAGTTCTGAGGTATACTAAAGACTCCATGATCATCTCTCCTCACAGTATGTGGATGGAACACATTTGGTTGGCTTGAGATAAAATTACCTGGTCTAGGGAAAGATTGTTACCTTCTGCTTTTTCTTTTAAATATAGGAATATATTAAATAGAAAATTGTAAGTGAAACTGCAGCAACAAAACCAAACCAAAACAATCTATTCAGACTCAGCTTCTGAAACCATGAAGAAACCAGTTACTATTTTCTTTGGAATCTAATGATAAATAGATTAAGACACCAGGAGCACAGGTCCCTCAACCCAAGTCTTAACAGAGAAAGAATTCTTTTTTCAATACAGTAAAAATCACATCAAGGCTTCATACTTCTGAATGCTTTACTAATGATTAAGAAAATGTATAATGCGAAGGATATGGTTAACATACCGTGATAGTTAACTTCGTATATCAACTTGGCTAGGCCATGGTACCCAGATATTTGGTCAAACACTACTCTAGATGTTGCTATGAAGCTATTTTTAAAAGAAGAGATTAAAATTTAAATAAGTAGACCTATTTAAAGAAAATAAAACAGACTACCCCCCATAATGTGGGTGGGCCTCGTCCAATCAGTTGAAAGCATTAATAGGAAAACACTGACTTCCTTGGAGGAAGAGGGAATTCTTCCAGCAGCTAGCCTTCAGACTTGAATAGCAATTGTTCCCTGGGTCTCCAGGCTGCCAGCCTACCCTGCAGATTTTGGGCTTGCCTCCACAATTGTGGGAGCCAAGTCCTTAAAATAAATCTCTCTATACATCCTATTGGTTCTATTTCTCTGGAGGAACCATGACTGGTACACATAATGTGGTAGGTTATTACCACTGTTCACCAGTATTTCTGCTTGTCTCTCCCGGGTCCATGAAAGGATTATACTTTTCTGAAAACTTAAAGTAAGCCCTGACCGTGTAACTTGCTTTGCCTAATAATGGGGCAGAAATGACACTAGCTCTAAGCAAAAGGTTTTAGGAGCCAGGGAGTGATTCTTTATGCTCTTCCCCTGCCGCAGCAGATGCTGAGTCCTCAGGTCGAGGTGGTGGAAACATAAGGTGCTGCCTCCCTCAGCCTGGACCCCCAGGTGACCGCAATCAGCGGAATCCCACCTATGGGCCCCTGTGCACATGGAGCAAGAGTAAGATCATTAGTTGTTTCAAACCACTGAGATTTGGGGTTCGTGACTAACACACTACTGTGGGCGGGGTACAAGGAGCCCTGTATCCCAGCAACATCCACTCAACCGTACATATTACACATTTTTAATTTTGTCATTTTTCCAAGTTCAATAAAACGTCTATTTGACATAAACACTGAATAGTGACTTGAAATACCGTATGCACATGATGGTAATAAAACTGTCTCTAAGATTCTTACGTGAACTTTTCATAAACTGACCTCTCCTTTAATCCAAATTATTGGTATAAAATATTGCCAAACGCACCAGCATCCATTCCATTATAAAACTTGGAACAAATGAAGCCCATGTGAATTTGAACATTTGTGTAACCTAGGCATTGAAAACTAGTCTATCCCAAGTGCTTCAGTGTTTTATATTTCATGAAGTTCTTAGAATATGCCTCTGCCTTTCTAGCTGCTATAACTCCCAAATTACTATGAAGAAAATCCTTCAATGCTGCAGGTGAATCAAAATGGATCTTCAAATAGGAAAAAAAAAAAAAAAAATCCAACATGATTGTTCACCTAAACCACACAAAGGCTGGCTTTTGCTAGGGGAAGGAAAAAAAAAAACCCAAAGATCGGAGGCTGAACTACCTGGGTCTGTGGGTAAATAAGGCATAGTTACGTTCAGATTTCAAAATTACCCAGTCCTGAATTTCAAGATACAGACAGTTGAGATGATCAAATCCATCTAAAATGTTCAGATTTTTAAAAGAATTCTGACTATTTTGGCCCAATTTTTTAAAAAAAGGATGGAGAGTACCATTTTCCCCCATAAATACCCAAACCTACAAACTCAGTATGGAAGGTGTGAATGACGTCATATTTCCTTTTTTATCTACCCCCCATAAGGTATAGCACAGTGCCTGTCTACAGCTGTCATCCAATAAATGCTAAATTGGTTTCTGTCGCCACATTCTCAAATCCCCACTCCCTGGCCACCTCCCACATCTTTTAAAGGAAGGACATAACAGGTATAAGAGAGGGCTTTCTCCACGGTCCTGTCATACATGGCACGTACCACTCTCATCGTCCACTCTTGCATTCTCACCCCCACTCTTGGCTAATTGGACTTCAACAGTGAGTCTAAGTTAGTCGGTCAACAACAGAGACACAGCTGTACTGCTGGGTACTAGTGGTACAACAGACAGCAGCGATTGGAATTAAGGGAGTTGCTGGATATTCAGACCCCAGAGGTCAGGACTAACCCTGCCACTCTTAGGTGGTGTCTACCTCCACAATGGTCACGGGCAAGCTTAGGAAAGACAGACAGGGGCACGCCACTGAGCACACGGCCTCCTGAAACCAGGTCGGTGGGGAGAAAAACTGCAGTTTGTTTTCCTTTCACCAACAATTACTTTTTGTGGAGAAAAAAAATAATAGTTAATGCAGTTGGGCTGTGGGGAACAGCAAGGCCACAGCATGGGCTGGGATTTACCTCTGAATATAAGCTAGCCAGTACTCTGGAGGATCATCTGCTCGGAGGACAAAGGTCAGTGCAATCATGGGCGTGTCTGCCTGCAGTAAGGGAACAATCTGGATCTTTGGCCTGGAATGCTGTACTGAGGTCACCCAAGAGTCAGTGATTATCAAAGACAATTTTACCCCCTAGAGGTTGCTTCCACTCTTACAGATTAGTATAGCCTCCAGGGTGATAAGCCTTACACAACAAGTCCAATGCTGCTGCACTTTTAGACCTTAAGGAAATCCCGTAAGCATTTGTTACTATTATTAATTAAGCATAATTAAGCACTCCTAGCATGCATTCCATATTGCCTTGAGCAGAAAGCTTCAGATGTAAACCATCTTTCAATAACATTCCCTTCCTGAATGCTGAGATGAGAACATGAAAATCATACCACATGTCTGCCATCTGTATTTGTACTTGTCAACAGCTCTGTTTTGGGATAAACAGCTTTGAAATAAGAATCAATTCAACTTGTTGGAAGATTAGCCAAGGAATAGCTCAAAGACCAAAACAGAACGTGAAGTCAGATAGTCTGAAAAATCAAGCACAATTTTGTTTCTCACTCAACATTCTGTTTTGTCACAGCCCAAGAGAAAGAGTGTGGCAGCCAGGGTTTGGGGGCACAGAGACAGGGAAAATGTTATATCCTCAAGTAAAAAATTCTTCAACCTGGAACAAATGTCTTCGCTACAATGTAACTAGAAATCATTCACTGACCTCTAGGAGACTACAGTTAAGAACAAAGCAATTTTAGCATTTACACTGTGTTTCATGGTTCTACTATGTGAAGATATACACAAGGGACGACTTGCGCGGGTCCAAGTGCATAATACACTCCTTTATTACCATAAAAATGGCAACATTTCCCAAAGTCGATCTTGATTAAAAGTAGTTCCATGGTTGAAAACAGTACTCCATTGTAGAGCTATTAAACTAGAGAGATGGCAAGGGGAAAATAAAGACTCATATACCAAAGGGGAGGTCAGGGAAGAAGTTAGAAAAAATAGGATGCTACAGATTGGTGGGAGACTACAATGGAATTGCTTTTAGAGGTGGCTGATGTAAGTGAATGAAGGGACATGATAACCTGGCAGCCCCACATATTCTACAAAACAAATGAGAACAGGTATGCTCCACTTGGAGGGCCATCCATTTTCTCCTCAAAAGAACTCATTTATAAAAGAGCAAATTGGTGATTTGTACTTACAGACTGGACCCTTTCCAAGCCCCTGTCAAGAAGTGATAAATTATTGAAGCATAGCATAAAGTGTTTTATTTTCAGTGTGCACACGGTAAAACCCTGTGAAATCTTTCTGTTCACCTTTCCCAAGTTATTAATTAAAAAATAATTGTTTCAAATTACTCTCTGATCTTTAAAATAAACCAAGACAAAACACTACATACACCTCTCCAGAATCAGCACTGCCACTTCCCTCCCTCCTTCTCGATCCTGCCCCCATATCCTTCAACCAGGCAGTTGTTTCAAATCACACCACCAGCTCCTGAAACAGGAATGCTATTTAGATTGGGGAGGGAGGGAAGAGGAAGTCCAATACAACATTCACACCATTGTCTGGTATTCATTCAACCACAGTGCCCAGATATATTTGTTTTTCCTAGAGACAGCGTAAAACTGTGGAGAATAAAGCAGGGTTGTGGAAAGCTCATTAATAAATTGTGAAAACCCTCTCAGCAAGAGTCATACAACCAGAGGAGCTGCCTTGTGCCAAGCAACATAAAGCCTGGTGCTCTGCTCCTGGTCAATGTCACATGCAAACACAGCTGATTTTTGAGAAAGGCCTCCCTACAGCCACTTGCTAAGCAAGTTAGGAAAAATTCTTTCCCAATCTCAGCTCGGCAATTAGAACCTGAATTATATTTACAAACTCTAGGCTTTGCTTTAATCTGACTGTGAGAGATGTACAGGAATGGCCCCTCCCCTACTGTGTTCATAAACTGAGAGAATAACATTGATGCCAATGCTCCTGAAAGGGAGCAGGGAAACCTAAAAAGTCTAACTGCATAGGAAATGCAGGGGGGCTGCTGACAGGAGGGCCTTCTCCTCCCTCTTGCTCATCTTTAGGATTTCTCCAGCACCTCAATTCAAATTCCCACTCCTTATGTGCAAGTGGCACTCTTAGCTCTCCAATTCTGTTTTCTATTTAGGTGACTCAATCAGTGGCTGAACTTCTGATCTTGTGGCCCCTTTTCGCAGCTTCAGACTGAAACTGGATGCCTTTTAGAACATATTCACCCAAGGATTTTGTATAACAGAAAAGGATGCAATAAAAGAGGATACCTCTAAAATGTTTTAATTATATGCCCATACATTATATAAAATATTTGCATCACTTTAGCTGGATATGAAAAGCAAGTCAAATGCAATGACGCTCCTCGAAACTTAAGTTAAAGAATCTTGTAGGAAGAGATATATTTTGTCTTTTTTTTATTCTTTTAGCATTCTGTACACTGACAACGAGGTATAATGACTGAAACTTAAATGTGACAGAACATTTCACAATTAAATCCACAATTGTGTACATTTGTCGTATATGTCAGTGAAAAATCACCAACTATTATAAAAACAGGACAAATTGTATCACAAAAGAAGGAAAAATTAGAAAAAATTCATAAAAAAATATATCCAACTATGAAAAGCGTTGCTCTTTTGGTGTCTTCACATCCGTCTCTTCTGTGTACTGATGTACAACACTGAAAAGAAAAAAATACATAAATTGAAATAATAAAAAAAAAAACCCTGCTTGTAAGTATACATAGTAGCATGTTTAAAAGCCAATAGGTTTTGGTCTGATACATCTGACATTTAAAATGAATTCTCATATCATTCAATTAACTCTAGAAGTACTATGACACTAGTTTTATGAATCTACATCCGGGTTTGATGTCTATCCTAATCTCATCCATGTGTCTCATTTACTCTGCAAAGTGTGACCAGGAAGATAAAATAAAATATATGTGAAAGTCCCTGGCATCTAAGAATGCTTTATAGTTAGAAGTATAAGAATTATGCTTTTCAGGGCTGAGCACGGTAGTTCACGCCTGTAATCTCAGCGCTTTGGGAGGCCAAAGCAGGTGTATCACTTGAGCTCAGAAGTTCGAGACCAGCCTGGGCAACATGGTGAAATCCCGTCTCTACCAAAAATACAAAAAAATTAACTAGGCATGGTGGTATGCACCTGTAGTCCCAGCTACTTAGGAGGCTGAGGTGGGAGGATCTCTTGAGCTTGAGAGGCAGAGGCTGCAGTGAGTTGAGACTGCACCACTACACTCCAACCTGGGCAACAGGGCGAGACTTCATCTCAGGGAAAAAAAAAAAAATGCTTTTCAGAAAGTAAATCAGTAAATCTAACCAGGTTAGATCTCAAATTAAGAATAAACAACGTATTTTCATCTATCTCTCCAATACAAACTCTAAACTTGGTGTTTACCTTCTAAATTGCAACACTTAGATAAACAAGAGCTGAGGAGTTTCTTTTTTTTTAATGATACCAAAGTCCTTATTCTGAGTTCCTTTTAAAGTCTCATACTTTGATGTTACCCAATGTTCTGCTTAGCTGATCCTCTCACGACTACCAGCCTGAACTCTTACGATGTGTGGTTTGTAGGAATGAAACAAAATGAAATGCTTGGGTCACTTTGGCTAAACTAGAGGTGGCTCTCCCTTCCACCCTGCATGCCTACTCGGCTTCTGAGAGGCCTGCTCAAAGTGAACAGTAAGGTGTCTTCATCAAAGAACATAGCACAGATCAATCAAATAAGTCAAGATCCTCTTTAAGAGCCAATGATGTGAACTAGGGAGTCTAAAGATGAGTGTCACGGATTACATCATGGGAAATGTGACATGAAGGGAAGCATCAGAATGCACAGTACAGCCACCCCCCAACCCTGGCCCCCAAGTCCTAGGTGTAGTGTGCACATTAAAGGATCTACCCTATCAACACGCACAGAACCCAACCTGCTCGTGACTGCTGCTATTAGCTGTCTTGAGGCGAGGCAAGATCATAACATTTCTTAGGAAAAAGAGGAGGTCAAATAAGGATATGAAAAATAGGGTAATTCTATAAATAGAAAGGACTAGAAAGTCAGGAAATAATGTATGTAAAAATATGATATGAAGAAATATGGTACTGTAAACACAGGGGACAGACTATTATAAAAGTCAGGAAGTTTAGTTTATAGCAAAGAGATCCAACTATTTAGGGGGTTGAAGACATCCAGAATTAAAGAAATCAACAAAAAATCTGAACTCAAGAATCCCAGAGTTTCATTTGGGAGATGGAACCAAGAAGTAGGGTAATTCTCGTAATTCTGTTATTTTTCCCTCCCCACCAAAAATACAAATATGACTTATCATAATTATCATAATTTTCATTTTGAAACTAGGTACTTAAAAATAACTATAAAAATCATAGCAATTTATTAGTTGTTAAAAAACTGAGTAACTTTATTTTTTCTATTTTGCCATTTTTGCCAAATCAAAGGATGCAAATCTGCACAGAAAGCATCTGAATGTTTAATAGAGAAGGGACAAATAGGACAAACTGCCAAATTATGCAAATTAAAGACAGCAGGGAAATGGTGCCTATTCTTACAGCTGCAACTTCCAGGCTACAAGAAGCAGGAATATGTGTTGGGGAGATAATAATACACTATATTCAAGAGAGCAGGGTTCCGGGTCAGGAGAACAATGCCCCCAGTTCCTCATCACTAAAGGAAGGGAAGGAGGGAACTTTAGTTTAAAAATTCCATGATGTATCTAAAAAAATAACTGGTCAAACTGACATATAAGCATTTTAAAATAATCAAGCGTAAAACTGGACTTTTAAATTATCTAGTAAACTCTTTGGTGATCTGGATTATAAACAGAAAGGCTTATTTTGAATGAATGCTGTACTGTAGGGTGAAGAAATGTTACCATTGTTTCCTCGGATAAATGCATCCCCATACTTATTCTTCAGTTGTCCATTTACATATTCTTCTGTCTGCTCCAGGGCTATATTCATGTAGCCATCCAGGCAAGCCAGGACCCCTGTAGACATATTTAGTCAAAAAGAAGAAATACAAGGCAAGTAGGAGTTGAAAATTACAGGGTATACCTTAGAGCAGATGATCTCTTTATTCATTAGCTCTTAGATGCTTAATAAAATAATTCATACCATAAATGAAACTCAACAGCTTAAGCACAAAACAACTCTAGGCCAATCTGAATGAAGACCAGGAAGGCAGTCACGCACCCACTACTACCCAGTAAAACAACAAACTGTCACTTCCCTCACGGTATGTATGACCACATAGCAACTTTTAAAGCATTCAAAAAAGTAAGAGAATAACACTAATCCAACAAAAATACCATTCTGTGAAAGCTAAGCACAAGGTGGGCAATTATGCATGAACAAATGATCCTTGGTTCCAATGGCATTTCCTACTTCAGCCACTAAGTGAAATACGGGTCTGGCAGATTTATTTCATCCTTTTACAACATCTATTGCAGCAGATGAATGTACTCCAGGGTTAAAAGGAAGTCTCCACAATCTGTTAAAATAATAGAAGAGGAGACAGCAGGTGCTCCGAAAGAACATCTTAAAGCTGTGACTCACAGTGAAGAGCAGCTTGAGAATATAGGGCAACATATTGCATTATAACACATCTTGTTCTGTTTTGTTACAGCTATAATATTTTCCAATCAAAACTAATAGAGAAAATGACCAAAAACATTTGAGGGAGCTTTCAAGGAAACAGTTTGAGTGAATCTTTAATTGTGTTAAGATGGTATAAATTTTGTAAAATTTGACCTAATGATCTTTTTCAAAAGATGAAAATCTGCAAGCCTCTAACTCTGTCTCTAATTTAAAGTGGTATTTTCTAGAAAAAAAAATTTAAGTAAAAACAAATACTAGATTCAATTAGTCGAGTCTATAGTTTCTCATTTGATGTCTTAACTTCATTAATATGCTCCTCACTCTCTGCCTCTGCCCCCATTATCCTCTAAACAAAAAAGTTTCCTTTCAAAATTGTGTGTGTAATGACAGCATAAGACATTAATCTACCAGAATTCTGCTAAAAGCGGTAAACTCTCAAAGAACCAGAATGGACTGTGAATAATAAAATTATTTCCTAGCCAAAGAAAGCTTAAGCTATAACTTTAGCTCATTTCCTGCTGTATTATTTTACATATAAGCCACAATTATAAATAAGCAAGAAACTTCTGAGGCACAATATGCAAACCTGTTTGAAAACTAATGAAAAGAATTTCAAAATGAAATGTCCAGGCTGGGCACAGTGGCTCACGCCTGTAATCCCAGTACTTTGGGACGCAGAGGCAGGCAGATCACTTGAGGTCAGGAGTTCAAGATCAGCCTGGCTAACATGGAGAAACCCCGTCTCTACTAAAAATACAAACATTAGTCGGGCGTGGTGGCGGGTGCCTGTAACACTAGCCACTCGGGAGGCTGAGGCAGAAGAATCATTTGAACTTGGGAGGCAGAGGCTGCAGTGAGCCAAGACTGAGCCACTGTACTCCAGCCTGGGTGACAGAGTGAGACTTGGTCTCAAAAAAAAAAAGAAAAAAAAAAAGTTCACTTCTAATTAAAGTATCTATTCTCACAGCAAAGGCAAAAAACAAAAAACAAAACAAAAAACAAACAAACAAAAAAACAAAAAACCTGCCCAGGGGGTTAGAAATATAACCGTTTCCTTCTCCATGAGATAACCTACTATACATAACCAAAACAAGACATTTTCTTACACAGAAACTGCTACAGAGAGTTGGAGGTTTTTCTTGTATGTTGTGTTTTGTTTTGGGTTTTTTTTTTTTTGGTGTTTTGTAAACCACAAAATAAGCACGTTCTTTTAGTAAGGCTATCTAATAGTATAGAACATTTTGTTTTAATCGTATAAAGGCCACGAACAGTCAGTCATAAGAGGAAAAAAAATTATGGTTACTATCCATGTGAAAGACTGCTGAATCTCACTAGTAAACAAATAAAATATATGTAGAATGAGATATTACTTGTTGCCAATTAGATTGGAAAAGATGAAAAAAAGCTAATACAAGAGTTGGTGAGAACATGAAGGATAAACCCAGGTTCTCTGAAGCAGGGCCATGGAATACTCTCTGACTTGTAAATCCTAGCTCAGGGAATTGATTCTAAAGAGATGCTTGGTCAACTGTTCACAATATATGTCAAAGTAAAAGAGTTGTTTACAGTGGCAAAAAACTGGTCAACACCTAAATGTCCATTAACAGGAAACTGGTTAAAAGTAAAAACAAAACTATGGTACAGCCACACAAGAGATTCCTATGCAGTCATTAAACCCTCTATATTGTCATAAAACTAAATGCATTGTTTCATGTTTAAAAAAAAAAAAAAATCAGGTTGCATGTACAGCTGATTCCATTTATGTCAAATTATGGTTATATAGAGGTCAAAACTGGTAAACTGTCTCTGGATGGTAGCATTGGGGAGACTTGGCTTTCTTCTATATACTTTTCTCTATTATTTCCTTTTACATTTCTAAAATTAAAACAAAACTAAAACATGTATTACCTTTATAAATAGAAAAATTTTCCTAAAGACTACAGAGAAAAAAGGTCAGGCTGGTTCATCTCTTCAATAAAGTGGGTACTGAGAAGATATTGAACACAATGTCCTCACTTTAATCAATTGTCAGATTAAAATCCCTAGAAGTCTATTACTTCCTATGGGGCCATCAAAAGTTCACAGGTGAGAGGCAGTACAGGAGACATTATAGTACCTCAGTATTCCATAGGAATCCATTAGTTTTACTACAAAAATAAAATTAAACTGGAGATATGTTATTAATGGCAACAAGCTAAGGGAGCACATAATCACCAGGGTGGTTTCTTAACCAGGCTTATGAGCTGAGCCTGAACTTGAGTCCTAGCTCCTCCTATACTATGTGGGGATGGTCAACAGAGATTTCAAAGGAAAAAGCTCAAGAGATTACTATGATGATTAATTATTCAGAAAAGAGACCAAGAAAAGGCCACAAAACCCTGTGCTATGGTTTGAATGTGTGCCCTCCAAAATTCAGGTGTTTGGCAACAGGACAGTATTAAGAGGTGGGGGCCTTTAAGAGGCAAGCAGACCATGGGGACTTGCCCATTAACAGGATGAAGGCCTGCATAAAAAAAGGCTTCATGCAGTGTGCTGGTTTGCCCTCTGCCTTCTGCCACGTGAGGACTCAGCATTCCTCCTCTCCGGAGGATGTAGTCCTCACCAGACAACTGAACCTGCTGGCACCTTGATCTTGGATTTCCTAGCCACCAGAACTGTGAGAAAATAAACTTCTGTTTTTGAAAATCACCCAGTCTAGAGGCGGAGCTTGCAGTGAGCCGAGATCACACCACTGCACTCCAGACTGGGCGACAGAGCGAGACTCTGTCTCAAAAAAAAGAAAGAAAGAAAGAAAATTACCCAGTCTAGTGTACAGTGCTCAGGTGACAGGTGCACCAAAATCTCAGAAACCACCACTAAAGAATGTATCTATATAACAAAAAACCACCTGTACCCCAAAAACTACTGAAATAAATAAAAAAAAAACCGCACAAAATAAAAATTACCCAGTCTGTGGTATTCTGTTAGAGCAACCCAAGAGACCAAGTCACTCAGATAATGAATTAGTTAGCTACGCCTGTGAAATATTTCAGGTAACTTAACATACCTTAGTTGTGGAAGATAAGAAATTCAGTAACTTTAAATGGAATCTGAAACCATTCTTCCTATAAAGTTAATTTCAAAAGCACTGCAGCCTCTTAAAAATAATATTCTCTCCAAGAACAGAAAGGCATTTTTTTTTTTTTTGAGATAGTCTCACCCTGTCGCCCCACACATTATACGTTATATAAGTGGGACATTCAGGTTGTAAAATGATACTCAATAGCTACCTGCCAATCTTGAATACTCCTGCAAAAACAAATGCTGCTGCACCAAGATGTTCTTCAGTTGAGTTGTTCATACCTGAGTTTACTAGGAATACCTTGCTATTACCAGGGAACTTAGGCACAGATGATCTCAAAGCAGACAGGAGACAGAAGTCACACAAATCACACTGAAAGGCAGAAGCACATGCTATACTGTCAGAGTTGTCCTTCTTAAAGGAACGACCGGCTCAGTTGTCTGGCCCCGCCGACCCACGACCCACGACCCACGACCCACCGACCCACGAATCAGCCCGGCCGTCGTGTGCACCATGTCTGGCTCCTCCAGTGTCGCCGCTATGAAGAAAGTGGTTCAACAGCTCCAGCTGGAGGCCGGGCTCAACTGCGTAAAAGTTTCCCAGGCAGCTGCAGACTTGAAACAATTCTGTCTGCAGAATGCTCAACATGACCCTTTGCTGACTGGAGCATCTTCAAGTACAAATCCCTTCAGACTCCAGAAAGTCTGTTCCTTTTTGTAGTAAAATGAATCTTTCAAAGGTTTCCCAAACCACTCCTTATGATCCAGTGAATATTCAAGAGAGCTACATTTGAAGCCTGTGCAAAAGCTTATCCCTGTAACACATGTGCCATAATATACAAACTTCTACTTTTGTCACTCCTTAACATCTACCTCTCTGAATTTTCATGAATTTCTATTTCACAAGGGTAACTGCTTTATATACACTGGCAGCAGCATACAATAAAACTTAGTATGAAAAAAATAAATAAAAGGAATGATATGAGAGGTAGAAAAAGAGATATGCATAAAAACTGCTGATGACCCATACTTTTTTGGTCTATTGGGTATATTTAAGAGGTTAATAAAAATCAGTGAGTCACATTTACTTATTCAGTTACACCAGTGAGAATGAAACATGAAAATATTACCTCGATAATCCACTCCAGAATTTAATTTTACCACAACCGGTCGTCCGATGATTTGCTTTAAGAAGTCACTAGGGGTTTGCTTCCGAAGACTCATTTTAACAATCCTAAATCAAAACATGAAAAGGAATAATAAAAAGTAAAGACCAAAGCTGATTATTCAACAAAACCCTTACAGCCCTTAACATACGTACAGAAAATGAAGTATTAAAGGACCATGTGAGAAGACACGTATTACTCCACTGCTACTACATGACGGGTAACATGTTTTCAGTACTTACTATGAGCCAGATACTAAGCTGAACATCCTACATGCATTACCTTATTTAGTTCCCACAACACCATGGCATAGCCTCATTAGGGAAAGTCCTGTGTTTACAAAGCACCTGCTCTTAATCACTTATCATTACTGCCTGACACACAGTCAGTATACCCTTTACAACCACTACCACCTCCATTCAGTGAATGGTTGGTTATTTTATGCGGAGCATTCTGCTAAGGTCTTTATAAACACTACCACATTTCATCTTTACAAGAACCCTGGGAAGAAGGTCTTAATACCCTCATTTTGCTGATGAAAGTAAAGGCACAGAAAGATTAAATAATTTGTTCCCAAATGTGACGGAACATTCAAGTTCAAATCAGCCCGATTTTAAAGTCCATATTATATAGAACAGACACATTTATGAACAACTGATGCCTACATGGTATCTCTGAAAAGAATTATAATCTAATGGTAATTTTGAGTGTACCATATGCCAGCACTTTTCCAAGAACTTTGTATGTATTAATCCATTTAAATTGCTCTACCCTAAAAGGCAGGTATTGTTTTTATGCTCATTTTACACATGAAGAAAAAGACACAGAAAGATTAAACACTCTGCTCAAGGTCACACAGCTAGAAAGCGGACAGCCAGCCCATACTCTTAATCACAACCTTAAACAGCCTTCCGAAAGGCAATAACATAGCCAAAGATTTTTAATTATTCTATTATGACTATAACAGATATGTGCTCTAAATAACAAAGAAAAAGTCTTAAAACTCAAGAATAATGGGAGTCTAACATAGAAAAAGAGATAGCATTACACACCCAAATCAACAGTATCAGACATGCAAAGCTGCACATCACTCCTTTCAAAATGCATCTTTTCTTATATAACAGCTCTCTTTCAAAATATGTTGGCAAGTTAATAAGACTGTAGTTAAGCAAAAACTGAGTAAAAATATTTCAGAAATTAGTGTTTCTGTTTCAGTCAAATTCAGCATCACTATTATTCAGCAGCTATATAGCACTGAGACTTAAAAATTAGTATGGAAACACTATTTTAAGGATTCCCTTCAAGAACTCAAGCTGTTCTTTTGTTTTCAATGAAATTTTTTCATTAAACATTCTTCCATTATGCTTATTTCACTCTAAGTCCATCCACTCAATAATCTGAATTTGTGAGGAGAAGGATTATTTAGAGATGTTCTCATAGTGAATTCATACAGGATCAGCAGATGTAGTAAGCTGGAACTCCAGGTTACTGGGTTCAACAAATATGTATGTGTACACACTGTGCAAGGAAATTCAAAAACATGTCATACACAAAGGCTCTGTCCTTAAAGAACTTAAAATCTAGAAAAATTTAAACTTGTTTAAACAGTGTGAATAAACAAAAGCAATCGTAATTTAAGTAAAATAATTTTCTTTAGCCAAGAAAAGTCAACATCCTAAGTCAAATAAAAGAAAATACAAATTTCAGAAATTATTTTTGAATTTTGGGTTATCATTTGGACAATCTACACTGCCCCCAAGGTTTGAAAGATGTTTTTAAAATGCGATCAAGTAATTATTTTGCTCAACAAATGTTAATTTAACTTCCCCATTTAATTTCCAGCTTATTTTTTTAGCTCCACAATCTCAACAGATAACTACAATTACAACTACTATTACAATTACAATTACAACTACTATTCAGGACAACCACTTTTCATTCAGGACTCAGATCACACAGCAATTTTACTTATACTGTTCTGAGTACAAAGTGAAAAATTACAAAGTAAATACTGTAACAGATTCATTACCTTTAATGAGTTTAGTGAAAATATACAAATCTTCCTATTCATCTATAAACCGCCTTATTTACGTTTTGAACACATGCTGTTTTGAGGCTGAACACATCTAGAGAGAATATTAACTCCGAAGGCCTGATACTCAACTGATGAGTCAGGTTCATCTCCTATCACAGATACTAAATCCCAATATGCCACAGTTTCATCATGTATAAAACTGAGAGGAAAGTAGCCACTTTATGTTAAAAACCACTAAAATACATTGTAATGTGACTCTAGTTCACAGAGATATTAACTACTTTAATTATTACTAATTTCACCTACTCATAGAGTATTTACAATTTCAGATTAAAAACATTTGAAAAGCAAAAACTGGGAAGAGTTAATAACTGTCAGAAAAAAGAATGCAAATCTTGACTATCAGTTGCTTGACAGTACAGGTTATTTTAAAGGTATTATTAACTTTCCACACCTTTTAAAAAACACAGACATGTTCTTCTAAGCTCACCAAAGATAACACCTTGTCCATTACGCCTTATCTGTATTCCAATTAACATCAATCTCTTCCTGAAGGCAATCAACACTTCCAACTTTCACGGAGCACCTGTCAAGTTCAGGTACACGGGGCTGGGAAATGTAACACAAAGACAAGGCCTTAAGCCCTCAGAGTTTACATTCTACAGAGGGCAAAAAACGTGTAAATAGAGAATTTTACAAAGGTGATGTATATTCTGACAGAATTATGCACAAAAGGGCAGAGAACACTCTCTTATCCCAGGCTTGGCAGATCAAAGAAGAATTTCTGGAAGCTAACACCTGAGCTGAGTTTGAAGGAAAAGGCATCACCCTCCAGCTGAAAGAGAAGTCAGAAAAGGCACGGGACATGTGCCTGGGTAGAAGGTAAAATCTACATAGGCAAGGAGGAGACGCCTCTGAGGCAGGGAGCTGTGCAACATTCACAGGAGCATGGAGTTCAGGCTCCGGGTCAGTTTCCCAAACTTGAATCATTAGGATCAGCTGGAGATTCTACTCAGTAGTTCTGGGGTAGGAGCCAGGAATCTATTTGAACAAGCCTAGGAAATAACTGGCAAGGGGAAATACCGTTGTCAATGATAGGAAACAGGGATTTTTAAGCAGGAACTTGCTTGGATTCCACTCTCTACTTTCCATAGCAGAGTGGAGATGCCCATCTCACCTAGTTTTGGCATCACAGTTTGGCATTTGATTTTATTTGCTATAACCTGTCGCTACGCCCTCTTTTGTATTCTTTATGTGGGTCTTTTCTCTCTCATAATACTGTAAGCCACATGACAAGAGGGGCTCACAAGCTTCTCATCTGTTCTCTAGAATATCTACATTCTACTAAATCTCTTGGGAAAAAATACTTTTAAGGTTATTTGGAAAAGAGTATATGGGTTGCCTCAAACACATTTTATCCATCACTTTAGGAAAGCCATATCTTTTACATTAGTCTTCATTAGGCTTCCTTGGTACTCCCTGTTACTTAATGACTTGCCCATAAATCCATTTTGTATGAGTAAATTGGTCTTGACACCACAATTTTTCCCATCACTTGGCTCAAGTAATTTTAAGTTTTCATCTTTTAAATTGGATAAGGCAGAAGGAACAGTTCTGACAATTTCTGAAGCAAGAGATGAGTCTCTTGAACCATAAACACATAAGAGGAAAAAGACCTTTCTTCAGGGTCACCTTGGTAAAACTTCTCCTTTCAAAATTAAAGTCATAATCACTCTCTATACCTCCTCTCCCTCCCCTGACTCCTACTCATGCTTGTTGTAAATGACCTATTTTCATAAATGGCTATTAAGTCAAAGGCAGTATATTTTCTGTCAGAAGCTACTGAGAGGTCTAGAATGAAAAAACATCTGCGAAGTGCCCTGCACGGAATTTTTTTCTTTTTGGTAAGAGAATGAAGAAAAAAAGAACTTTTATTAATCCAACTATGTGCCACCAGCGTTAGATTCATAAGCAATTTACAGAGAAACCGTGTGAGGTGGAAAGCAAAGCCAAGACTGACCCCAAACCCCAAGCGCTTTCACAGGTACAGCTGCCTTCTGAATATGTTAAGATTCTCTGGTTAAATCTTGGGGAATCGCAATAGAGGCAGCGAGAAATCCAGTCGGAGAGTAGCAGCACTGGGGAAAAAAATACTTAACATGACAAAGTGCTGTAAGTTAGCCTCAAAGAAATACAACGGACAAACGCAAAGAAAACTATCTCATGTGATTCGGGTTATGCCACTGGGCAGAAGACATGAAAATCCTTATTTCTTGGCAATGTTTACCTGTAAGTTTTTACCTACTCCTAGCATATTTACAGTTTAGGGTGAAAAAAATTTGAAAAGCAAAAACTTGCAAGGAAACATTACAATCCAAGTAACTGCAGCACTAGACTAACAGATCAGTGTCTGAGGAGGCGATCAGACACGGAGAAGAACAGCTCTCCAAGTCCTCCCTTCTGACACAGTGGAGTGCCTCGCTGTCTTGTGAAGGCTTCATACCAATTCCTCCTTTCTGAGCAGCAGGCGCTACTTCTCTCCCTCTCTCCCAAAGGCGAAGTGAGTCCACTCAGAGCACCTCTTTCCACTCTCAGTCATGGTCCTTATCAGGCTGCTTTGTAATTTTTCCATTTGCTGACAGGTCTCCCATGGTGAGTTTTAAGCTCCTTGGGGACAGGGGAAATATCCTACTCACTTGGTATCCCTAGTACCTAAGCACACTGCCCAAGTCTGTGGAAGAGACATTCAAGGCCAGTGCCAAGCAAAATCCCTGTCCAGCCCCCACCAACCCAAACTATGGATACAGTGACTAGTAGGATCATGCACGTACTTCAACAAATACTAACCAAGTAATCTCTATTAGGACCACCAAAGACGGAGAAAACAACCCTTTCTGTCATTCAAGAACCAGCTGTTTCCAAATCTAGAGATGCTTGTTAAAATGCAGATTCCTGAAGTCTACTCAGGTAAAAGCACTGTATTTTACATTTTATGAAGTTCTCCAGATAATTTATTTAAGCAAATGGTTCTCAACTAGGGGCAGTCCCCCCAACCCCACCCCACCCTGCTCAGGGACATTTGGAAGTATCTGGGGACACTGAACTGTCATGACTGAGGAAGGTGGTGCTACTGCTATACTAGTGGGTAGAGACCAGGGATGTTGCTAAACATTTTACAACAGGACCGCCCTCCACAACAAAGGACTGTCCAACCCAAAATGTCAATGGAAGCTGAGAATCTCCGCTATAAGCCCTAAAAAAAAAAACCACCAACAACACTGTTCTTTGGTTTTAAAGTGAGGAGTTTTAAAGAAATCTCCAAAGTACAGCAAATGATAACCAAAAGCTACACTCTAACCAAATGATGGAGTGTAGATTATAATTAATCAGGGATGTTTTATTCTAACATAAAGGGAACCTGAAAACAACTGTCAAAATCTTGAAGGGGTTGCCATTCTAAATAATGGATTTCTAGTCTTGGCCATGAAAATAATCACTTTCCAATTTCTCAGTGTTACAGGTCCCTCCGATCATTAATCTGTTAGTACACTTTTAAAAGGAGAGAATATTCCAGGTGATGTAAACAAATTTTTAAATTCTAATATCTACTATGCCAGAGTTCAGTGAGAGACTGCCTGATGCAGCACAGGGTACTCACTTGGGAGGCAGGAAACCTGAGTTCTAATCCCAGCTCTGCTACTTAATTAGCTGTGTGACTTGGATAACTCATCATTTCACTTCTCATGGCCCCAGGTTCCTCATCTGCAAAATAAGGGAGTTATGCCAGATGACCACTTAAGTCTCTTCCTGCCCTAACATTCAGGTAGTAACAAATTAACTCCAGTCACTCACACACACACACACACACACACACACACCCCACAAACATAAGCCTCTCAAGATTTCTGTACAATATTCAAGCAAGTAAAATTGCCAAACACCTGAAAAACTTTTTTGGAAAACACTGCAGCAATGTGTACGAAAGCCTAAAAAAGGCCTTACAGATGAAAGCATCTAATCTGATAATTTCACTTCTGAGAATCTAGTCCAAAGAAATAATCTAAAAAATAGGGGGGAAAAGGTTTATCAAAGTATTATCTGGGGTGCTAAGAGCTTCAAAAATTCAAAAACAATCTATAATATCCCACAATCGGGAAATGACTGAATAATTTATGGGACCTACATTGCGATCCACAATGAGGGACAGTCAATCAAAAGAAGATACAAAACTAGAATAATATTTAGGAAAAGTTTTTAAATGGAAGTGGAAAACTATACTGTTAAGTGATTAAACACGTACACTTTTAGCTCAAGTAGAAGCTAGCATACACAGGAGAAAAAGATTGTAGGTGAAAAGGTTGTGAATATTATTTCTTCACTAAAGTCTTCCATGTTTGCAATTTTCTGCAATAGTCACATACTACTAAGAGCAGTGGGGTAGGGTAATCCGCTTCATCCTAATGCTACACATCTTAAAAACGCCTGCTGCGGACACGCGAACGCACAGAAAACCTCAGGTGATAGGACTTAAGACCATACAATTGGGTTCCTAGGCCTGACAACTCAGACAGGCGAGTCCAGTCCTTAATTCCTGTGGTCAGGCGCAGCCACCCCGATGTAAGGGTTCGCAATTCCCTGAAGCCCTGGAAGACTGGCGAAGCCTAGGCCTGGGTTCGGGATCCACTTTCCCGCTGAATCCTGGGATTAACCTCGGGGCTCCCTGGGGAACTTCAACAACCTGAACTGGTATCGGACGCCAACTCGGTGGGAGCCGGGACGGTGCCGCTACTCTCCGCGCAGTCTAAGCACCTCGCTGAGGGCAGTCCCGGTGCCCACCATCAGACCTCTCCGGCCATTCCGTGCGCGGAGAGCTTGGACGCGGCATTTCGCGGGAACCTGCCAGTCAGCGGTCCCTTCCCGGAGCCCCAGCCCGTTTCCCTCAGGCCCTTTCCGGGGCTGCCTCGCCCGGCCTAGGGCCGCTGCAGCCGCCGCTCCACAGCGCGACTGAACACTGGGGCGTCGAACCCGGGGCTACGCCCGGCCCCGTCATCGGCCCGCGCAGCCGTGCGGCTCACCTCGCGGGCGGGATCCAGAACCCTCACTCCAGGCGCCCCACGGGTCCGGCCTCCTCAGATGGTCGCAGCCAAAACCGAAACCGCCGAGGCAGCGGCACTTTTCTGCCTCGGCCAATCACTGCTCTTCTCTGCTACGGCAGCCCGCTGGGGCCGAAAAAGCCTGTCAGCGCCGAAGCGCGCAAACCCGAGAATCCTGTTTTGTCTAGTAGCAAAATTGGTGCACTGGAGTTCCTCTAACAGAAATCTGAATACAAAACAAATACAATATAAAACAAAAACAAAAATCCAGGAAACTAGAAGTGATCTTTTGTCCAGGATTTATTTGCAGAAGTGTAAAAAATAACTTGAAGTCATAGTAAACTGGAATTTACTGTTTAAGTAACGGCACTGTGTACCCAGAAACGTCCTTGAATAGTTTAAAGCAAATAAATAAATAAAACACCTCAAGTCTTTAAATCTACCTCTCGATATTGATTAAATGTGTGAAGACTTAAGCCATTTTAGCAAGATACTGTTGCCATGGCAATGTTGATAAAAAAAATAATTAAAATCACTCAAGTAACTCCGAATTATAATGACATTAATTGTGTTACATTAAAAACTTGTTCCAATTGGAAATGGTGTGCAGACATTATTTAAGTGCTACTATGGGAACTTGGTTTGGAATTTTGCATGAATTCTCAACACTCTGTCTATTAATGGGATTGGAAGGGGAAAAAAAGAGAACTGTTACCCCAAGACTTGATTCCTTTTTCTCCTTATACACAAATCTTATACACAAAGCAATAAGATCTTCCAACACAGATCCTTAACCCCATTAGGTGTTATAAAATCTAAGATGCAGAATTTTTTTCTGAGATAAAGAATTCCTCCCTTGTAACCTTCTTTTGGCTAAAGGCAGAAGAAATGAACTTTTGATTGATATGAGGGACAGAAAACAAGTGGATGTGATTTGGTAAAGAATAGAGACTTCCTTATATCCTTCTATAAAAGCTCAGTTTGGGTAAAGACCAAACAGTTACTGATTTATTGAGAGGACTGTATTTGAAGTTCTTGCAATATAAAATATAATATAAATAAAAATTTTAAGAAAAGTACCGTTTAAATCAAATAATTACTTGCAAAGTACAAACATAACAGGATAAAAAGGCCTGTTCCTAAAAACTTTCTTTGCAAGACATCAAATTGCACATTCCTTACTGGTTGTTTAAATTATTAAAAAAAATAAAATAAAATTTTGATTCAAACTTCTTTCCCTTTCCTACAGAGCCCTAATTGAGCTGTTAACACTAGCGTGGTGGGTAGGGAGCCATGAGGAGTTTTAAGGGCCTAGTTCATCTGCAGAGCAGCTGCAGCCTACTCCAAGGGCAGTAGCTGGGTAAGGGCCCAGTTTGACACACGGGGTGGGCATCCTGAATTATTTCATGAGCTAACAAGCTAATAAAAAGTGTAGCTGTTCCCGAAAGCCCCTCAGCAGCTTATAAATGACTTTTACTAACTCAGGCAATTTTCCATATTTCCCAGGGTTTTGCTTTCAGCATCTTTTATGATGCAAAGAAAACATTGCAAGACTTTTGCTGAATACTAGTCTTCAAAACCCTGAATGTGAACATTAATTTATTAAGGAGGCTTAAAGTCATAAAAATATTTTGGCAAAATTTAGTTTAATTTACGTAGTTTAGTTTCGTTTAGTTGTTAGAACTGATGAACCTACACTGACACATCATCATCATCCAAAGGCCAAAGTTTACATTAGGGTTCACTCTTGGTGTTGCACATTCTATAGGTTTTGACAAATGCATAATGAAATGTACCCACAATTGTAGTATCATACAGAACAGTTTCACTGCCCTAAAAATTATCTGTGCTCCACCTATTTACCCCTTCCTCCCCACTGGCAACCACTGATCTTTTTTCTGTCTCCAAAGTTTTGCCTTTTTCCAGAATATCATACATTTGGAATCATATCATACATAGTTGGTGATGCATACACTGCACCACCCCACTGTGTAGCCTTTTCAGACTGGCTTCTTTCACTTAGAAATATGCATTTAAGACCCCTCTATGCCTTTTCATGGTTTGACAACTCATTTCTTTTAAGTTCTGAATAATATTCCATTATTTGGATGTACCACAGTTGATTTATCCATTTACCTACTAAAGGACATCTTGGTTGCTTCCAAGTTTGGGCAATTATGAATAAAGCTGCTATAAATATGCATGTGCAGGTTTTTGTGTAGAAATAAGTTTTCAGGTCATTTGGGTGAACATCAAGGAGTATGACTGTGGATCATACAGCAGGGTATGTTTAGTTTTGTAAGAAACTGCCAAACTGTCTTACAATGTGGCTGTACCATTTTGCATTCCCACTAACAGTGAATGAGAGTTTCCATTGTTCCACATCCTCATGGGCATTTGGTGTTTCCAGTCCTTTGGATTTTGACTAGTCTAATAGCTGCTTAGTGACTATCTCATAGTTGTTTAAAGTTGTAATTCCTTAGTGACATATGATATGGAGGATTTTCTATATGCTTATTTGCCATATGTATATCTTCTTTGGTTGTTCAGGTCTTTGGCCCAATTTTGAATCAATTTTTTCTTTTTTTATTGTTGAGTTTTAAGAGTCCTTTGTATATTTTGAATAATAGTTCTTTATCAGATATGTCTTTTACAAATATTTTCTCCCAGTTTATGGCTTGTCTTTTCATTCTCTTGAAGCTATTATGCTGAAAATAGACAAATGGCAGATATAAAAATGCTGAAAGGAGCTCTTGCCACTTCATTGTTTGTCCCTTCTACAGTTCTATAGTACAAATGCCTTTAGATAACTATGTCCTTCAATGTTTCATATTCATAAGAGATGGTCTCATGTTTAGCTTATTAAACACCTGGAAGTCCTGTGAACACATAGGTGAATGTTTTGTGTTGTTGTTGTGGTTATTGATGATGATGATGATGATGATAAATACAAACATGTAATTGGATTGGCCAACACTCTCCAAAGCAGATTTTAATACCTAACATGGATGTTAAGCTTCTAAGAATACTGGCTGGTCTTGTTGGAGCAATACATTAACTGGTATGAAGTGCTGGCATGGACCTGAACCTTTCCTGGACCTTGAGACTATACAGTAGGAGCTCAAAAGCTGTGATGTACTAGTTTTGGATACTTGGGGTCACCATTATCTGCCTTTAATCATGGGATATGAAAACTATTTGTTATAGAAAATGAAGAGAGGCCGGGGCAGTGGCTCACATCTGTAATCTCAGCACTTTAGGAGGCTGAGGTTGGCGGATCACTTGAAGTCAGGAGTTCGAGACCAGCCTAGCCAACATGTTGAATCCAATCTCTACTTAAAATTCAAAAATTAGCTGGGTGTAGTGGCACACGCCTCTAATCCCAGCTACTCGGGAGGCTGAGGCATGAGAATCTCTTGAACCTGTCAGGCTAAGGTTGCAGTGAGATGAGATCATGCCACTCTACTCCAGCCTGGACAACAGAGCGAGACTGTTTCTTAAAAGAAGGAAGGAAGGAAGGAAGGAAGGAAGGGAGGGAGGGAGGGAGGGAGGGAGGCAGGGAGGGAGGAAGAAAGAAAGAAAGGAGAAAGAGAAAGAAAGAGAAAGAAAAAGAAAGAAAAGGAAAAGAAAGAAAAGAAAGAGAAAATGAGATAGACACGCTCTGGTTGTTGAATACCTTCTAAGAAGTGATATAAGCTTATTGACTGGTGAGCAAATTTCTCAGAAAAAGTAGTGTGTCTTTGCTTATCCAAAGAAGGGATATATTCTAAATCATGGGCACTTGGTTTCAGATGTAACACGTGAGATGTTTAAATAATGTTTGGACTTCATCAGCCGTCATTTTGGCATGACTTGAATTTTCAAAGAGATAGGATCAGAGTCTGAGCTCCTGGAAGGACAGTCTCCTCAATGCTGTGATGCTTTATGCTCCACTGTGAACTCTAGAAAACCTCTCTCAGCTGTAAAATTCAGTGAAATCGGTGTGAAGCTGCCCTTGTATTTTAATCAAGATGAACTTGAAAGGTGAACATTATAAGTGGGAGAAATTATTTATAATTTGGTAATAAAAGTTTATGTCTAACACTCCAAATTTCATACATCTGCTATGTGCTGGCCCTGAGATATAAAACAATTGAAGTTGCCTTTACATTTGGCCTTATATGAAAGGTCATAAATTAGAGTGATAGCGTTCGCCCTCTTTCCTAGCTCACCAAATTTCCATATTAACATCTTCACCTCAAACATAAATGGTTACCCAGCTACAAAGAAAAGAATTGTGTTGGCCTTTATGAATTATAGTTTATGCTGGAAATCTGTGCTACATAGGGCTGCTATTCAGCTTGTAGGAGAGTACATCTACTTCAATGAAGCTAATTCTACCACAGTGAAACCAATTAAAATCGTATGGCCAATTTAAATAAATATAATATATAAAAACTTGGGAATACTTTCAAAATTAGCAAATGGTTGCCAAGGTATGTGATTCTTTTAACTCTTAAAAATGCTTTTGTAGATATTCAAGGGATTTTCTCTGTTAGAATACCCAGTAACACGTTTCTTTTCAATAAACTCACTTTCAATTTTTAAAATGTACTTTCTAATGTGGTTTTAACTGATAATGTGAAAATGCTGGCTTTTTAACTACAAAAAAACACACAGCTCATTTTATTGTAATATACAGTAATTAAATGTATTCCAAAATATTAATGAATTGGACCAGTGCTTCATGTTTAGGCTTTAAAAAAAAATGTTTATAGCAAAAAACAGATGTTCTTAAATATTCAGGGTGAGTTATCAAATCCATATGTTTTTTGTGTATGTTTTTTTCACTAGCCCAGTGATGCAGTTAAAATGCAGCATAATGTAAACTAGTAGGGTCAAGTTCAAGAACAACTTCAGAA